CACTCAATATAACAACACTACAGGCACTCAATATAACAACACTACAGGCACCCAATATAACAAAACCACAGGCACCCAAATAACAAATACAGGCACATATAAAATAAGGACTAATATAACAACACTACAGGCACTCAATATAAACAACACTACAGGCACTCAATATAACAACACTACAGGCACTCAATATAACAACACTACAGGCACTCAATATAAAACAACAGCCATTAATAACAACACTACAGGCACTCAATATAACAACACTACAGGCACTCAATATAACAACACGACAGGCACTCAATATAACAACACTACAGGCACTCAATATAACAACACTACAGGCACCCATACAGTATAACCCCCCCCCCAAACACTGTTCCACATCGCAGGTGTTTGAGAGCACTGCCACTAACTCAACAGGTGTTAAGTAAAACTCTCCTTCACAACAGATGTTCGAGGGAGTGTACCATTAATAAATCAACAGGTGGAACACAACATCTGAACAGGTGTTTCATTGTACAGTACTACCACAGGTTGTAAATATTACACAGATATTTCAGGTCGTATTATACAACAGAAGGATGATACAACTTATACACTGTAACATACACCATACAGCCTCTGAGTCAATACACTCAATCATACACAATACAGTCAGTCAGGGTTATGTATCATACACTAATCCAAATACACGATACAACAGGGCGTTATCATACACTTACAAATACACGATACAACAGGGATATATCATACCACCCACATACACGATACAACAGGGTCATGTTATCATACACTCACCCAAATACACGATACAACAGGGTCATGTTATCATACACTCACCCACATACACGATACAACAGGGTCATGTTATCATACACTCACCCAAATACACAATACAACAGACTCCTCACTACACTAAGTCATACAAAAAATACAACCAATACAGTGATATACAACTGTTAAGCAAGTAACCCCCCTCCCCACACACACACACACACACACACACACACGGAAGCCTCCCTCGCCCTGAAGCCTCCATTGAAGCCTCTCCTTATGAACGGTACTCAAGGACAAGGGGGAGAGGGTAGGGAGAGGGGGGTGGGGGATGAAAGGAAGGAATGAGGAAGGGAGGAGGGGAAGGGGGAGGGAGAGGGAGGAGGGAGAAGGGAGGGAGAGGTGGGAGAGGTGAAAACCCTGTTAAGGTGATTAGGTCTCCTGTTCAGTGGTGCAACATGTCCTGTGATTAACGTCTCCCAAGGCCACGGGTTCGAATCCCCTCCCCTGGTGCAAGAGGCGCTGTGTGTGTGGGCACGGGGAGCAAGGAGCAGACAGGCAACAGGAACAACAAGAGAATTAGAGGGAACAACAGGCACAAGACAGGCAACAGGAAAATAGACAAGGAACAACAGGAACAAGAGACAGGAAGGGAGCAGGAGCAGGGAACAGCAAGATACAAGGAACAGGAGCAACATGTGGCCAACAGTTTAAGAGGCCAGCTCAGGGCCGGTCTCTCTGTGTGTGTGTGTGTGTGTGTGTGTGTGTGTGTGTGGGTGTGTGTGTGTGTGTGTGTGTGTGTGTGTGTGTGTGTGTCTGTTGTGTGTGTGTTAAATTATGTAAACAAACAATCTAATTCAAACTCTTAAACAACAACGCGATAGTGCCCCTTTCAACCCCCATAAACCCTAAACTGTCAACCCCCTAACTGGAGGCCTTAAAACTATCAACCCCTAACTGGAAGCCCATAAACTGTCAACCCCCTTAACTGGTACACAGCTCCAGTATCGTCAAGGCTCATAACCACGCTGTTCTCAACCCGCCGCCGGCCGTTAATGTGTTAGTAATCCATGTTTATTTGAACAAGTGTGGGAAGGAGCAACAGGACAGACAGACAAGTGCACGGACACACCACCACCACCACCACTCCAACGCGCAGCCACCACCAGACAATGCCGGATACCACCCACCCAGACAGACAGACAGACAGACAGACAGACAGACAGGAAACAAAAACAGTCACCCAGACAAACAACCCCCTTTCTCCATGTGTGGCAGACCTGCTTCACCCAGTCTTAAATAAACACACACACACACACACACACACACACACACACACACACACAACAGAATGATAAAATCAAATCCCCAAAAATAAACAATAACAAACTGGCAGCCACACGAGTAAGAAATAAAACAACACGGAATGAATCACTTAACTAAACCTAACTTCCTAACCCAACACTACACTACACTAACCAACACCTCACTAACCCAACACTACACTAACCCAACACCTCACTAACCTAACACTACACTAACAACACTCACTAACCCAACACTCACTAACCCAACACCACAACACTCCTCCCAACACTCACTAACCAACACTACACTAACCCAACACTCTCTTCAACACTCACCTAACCTAACACCACTAACCCAACACTCACCACTAACCCAACACTACACTAACCCAACACCTCACTAACTTCACACTAACCCAACACCTCACTAACCTAACTACACTAAACTAACCTCTCTACACTAACAACACCTCACTAACCTAACACTACACTAAACAACCTAACCCTACTAACCCAACCACTAACTAACACTACACTAAATAACCTAACACTCACTAACCCAACACCCACTAACCCTAACACTACCACTAACCTAACACTCACTAACCCAACACTCACTAACCCACACCTCACTAACCTAACACTACTAAACCAACCTACTCACTAACCCAACACCTCACTAACCCCTCACTAACCTAACCTAAACACTCACTAACCCAACACCTCACTAACCTAACACCACTAAACTAACTCACTAACTACCTCACTAACCCAACACCTCACTAACCTAACCCAACACTACACTAACCCAACACTACACTAACCCTACCTCACTAACCCAACACTCACTAACCTAACACTACACACTAACCCAACACTACACTAACCCAACACTCACTAACCCCACACCCTAACTCACTAACCAACACCTCACTAACCTAACAACACTACACTAAACTAACCTAACACTCACTCACCACCTCACTAACCTAACACTCACTAACCCAACACCTCACTAACCTAACACTACACTAAACTAACCTAACACTCACTAACCCAACTCTAACCTAACACTACACTAAACTAACCTAACACTCACTAACCCAACACCTCACTAACCTACACTACACTACACTAACCAGACCCAACTCAACACTAAGCAAAAATACATATTCAGCAAACTATCAACAATCAAATACCAAAAATGCGTAAAAAACGAATCAATCGGTAAAGTGTACCACCAAAACCCACATTAAATTCTGGTCAAAAAAAATTTACTGATTTATATAAATTAAAAATCATTCAGTATCGGTGCATTAAAATTTCCATTCCATTACCTTAACAAATCACAATGAACAGAACAGTAGCGAGAACAACACACGTGAACACCAAGAAAAAGACTATAAGTGTTCAGTCTACATATAATAATACAATGTACTACAGTAACCCTATTTTGCAACACAGTCTGCAGTACACAACAATGGTAGTACTTATCACTCAACACAAGTCACGTTTAATACGAGTCATAGTGAACAAATTGAACACTCGCATCTACAGTGAAGTTTGAACACTATCAAATCTACAGTGAACAAGTTTGAACACTACCACATCTACAGTGAACAAGTTTGAACACTATCACATCTACAGTGAACAAGTTTGAACACTACCACATCTACAGTAGACTAAAAGTTGACTCCAGTGAAAAAATTGAACACACATCTACAAGACTAAAAGTTGAGAAAAGTGAACAAGTTGAACACAGGGAACAGGTTGAACACGATGAATAAATAGTACAGTGAACAAGGTGAACACCGTAAACACGTTAAAGAGTGAACACTGTGAACACTAAAGCATGTGCAGTGTACCAGTTGAACACAGTGATTAAATAAAGCATGTACAATGAACAAGCTGGACACCGTGAAACAATTTGGACAGTGAATAAAGCTGAACACAGTAAGTTGAACAGTGAACAAAACTGAAGACAGTGAACTTGTTATACAGTGAACAAAGGTTGGACATTAGAACACAATCACCCCAAAAATAAATGAATTAAAGCCTTGAGAGTCAGGTCAGGTGTAGTGTAGGTAGGTAGGTAATGGTACACAGTCTGTCACGCCTCACCACATCTTGGCCCCTCGCCATAACATGTAGCCCAAGCGAACCCAAACAACTACTGAAGGGGGCCCAAACAACCCGCCTTTAGGGACGCCCCATCCCAAACAACCCACTACTGGAGGGGGCCAAACAACCCGCCTTTGGGACGCCCCATCCCAAACAACCACTACTGAAGGGGAAACAACCTGCCTTAGGGACGCCCCATCCCAAACAACCCACTACTGAAGGGGGCCAAAACTAACCCTTTGGGACTACTGAAGGGGCCAGAACAACCCGCCTTTGGGACCCCACTACTGAGGGGCCCAAACAACCTTTAGGGACGCCCCACTACTGAAGGGGCCCAAACAACAGGGACGCCCCACTGAGGGGCCCAAACAACTCCGCCTTGGGACGCCCCTACTGAAGGGGCCCAAACAACCACCTTTAGGGACGCCCACTACTGAAGGGGGCCCATGCCCCTAGGGACGCCCCACCCCACTATCAAGGAGATTCTCACTGTTATACAAGAGGCGTAAGATACAAGCATGTATGTGTATGTAACAGCACCAGCGTGACAGACTGTAACACAAGAGGGCTCTGGTTCATATTACAGGTGTATACATGTGTCGCGGGTCGTTACAGAGGTAGGTTGAAGTTTAGTTGTTGTCAGAGATACGCGAAAGTGAAAATGGTCGGAAAGTTAAAAATGAGGGTGACGCCTCCACCAGCAAGAGGGAGGGAGACATGACAGCTACAGAATACTGACATCTTACTAAGAGAACAGAAAGGCAGTCTAAGGAATAAGTCCAGGTAATAGAATCTTACGTCGGCGTGTAGTTCGAGTAGGCTGGCGTCTTGGGGTATGCCAGGGAACATCTTGTAGCCTGAGTCACCCCTCTGGCGGTAGTTTATTTATTTAAACTTGTCAAGACACACACACACACACTATAATAGCCACACAACTTCACTAATTCTTATCACAAAACACGTGCAGTTGAGCTCAGCCCGTAGAGGATACAACTTGTTGCTTTGACAAACTCCAAGTCTTAACCCTAAGCTCAACAGAACAGGCGGTTGGTAATCAAGGGGGCGGTGTGATCACTGACGTACCTTGTACAGGTCAGAATCTAACATTATTTCACTGTACATGGACTAAATTCTGACGCTAAACGACCGTGCTCTCGTGTGGACAGTTCGGCGGCTGTTGTCCCACTAAAAGTGTTTCTCCCACATCGCACTGGACATATACACAAACCTAACGCCCTCGGCCCCGCCCCGCAACACTCATTGGTTGGCTCGGTCATGACGTCACGCTGCAGGGCTACCAACCACAACCCACGTGATCCATTCCTAAGCGACTTGCACTAATATGAATAATATTACGAGCGTTGAGGTACGGACCATGTATAAACACTGACACTCTTACTACCAATCCCTCTCAACAAAATCCCTAATTCTGCCCAAATGTCTGAGAGTTCAACCAGCCTCCCAATCTTGGCCCCCTACGAGAAAATCACAATCAACTGTGCAATATTTTCCTTCCCCTCATCTCCCCCCCCCCCCTCATATTGATCAAAACAAAGTAACAAAATATATCAAATGTATGTAATAAGTAGTGTGTGTGTGTGTTGTTACGTGCGTGTGTGTTTACGTGCGTGTGTGTGTGTGTGTGCGTGTGTGTGTCGTGCGTCCATCTTCCTGTTACCATCCGGGAAGACATTGCTGCAGCTCAACTAACTCAACACAGTTAGGAGAGCTTCTTATGTATTAGGATATTAAGGTAATGGCGAAGGTGTGGCTATTGGTGGAGGCTGGAGGCCATTAAAAAAAAGTAGTAGTCGTAGTAACAGCATGGGAAGTAAATATAGCTCAGAATATCTTACGTAACAAGGGAGAAAAGGGAGAACAGAAATTTCCCTTCCTCTTCCCCCAACACTAACCCCACACCTTCCCCCTCCGCCACCCCCCCCCTGTCCTCCCCCAAGACCTGCGTCACACTAAACTGTTTCATTACGTACATACATACATACATACATACATACATACATGCATGCATTTAGACACACATACAAAGATACACAATGATAAAAAACGCGGTGATTTAATTTAATAAGAACGTTTCGTGTGTGTGTGTGTGTGTGTGTGTGTGTGTGTGTGTGTGTGTGTGTGTGTGTTCCTATTGATGATCTATATATATGAATGTATTTATGTATGTATTTACGTATGTATGTATGTGTCAAGGTATGTTTGTACACACACAAGGAACTAGAAGCAGGATAGGCTCTTGTGTGGCATTGAATTTGCGAAGAACAATCGGTTTAAGTTGTATGTGGTGTATGTTGTATGTGGTGTATGTTGTATGTGGTGTATGTTTGGGCGCATGTTGCGTGGTGTATGTTGTGTGTGTGGTGTGTTGTGTGTGGTGTATGTGTGTGTGGTGCATGTTGTGTGTGGTGCATGTGTGTGTGGTGCATGTTGTGTGTGGTGCATGTTGCGTGTGGTGCATGTTGCGTGTGGTGCATGTTGCGTGTGGTGCATGTTGCGTGTAAAGTCATCAGGTAACAGATTATGGCCGTGTATGTTGTATTGTTAAGTCATCAAGGTAACAGATTATGGCCGTGGTATATGTGTGTAAAGTCATCAAGGTAACAGATTATGGCCGTGTATGTTTTGTGTGTGTGTAAAGTCATCAAGGTAACAGATTATGGCCGTGTATGTTGTATGTGTGTTAAGTCATCAGGTAACAGATTATGGCCGTGTATGTTGTGTGTGTGTTAAGTCATCAAATAACAGATTATGGCCGTGTATGTTGTATATGTGTTAAGTCATCAAAACAGAATTATGACCGTGTATGTTGTGTATGTGTTAAGTCATCAAGGTAACAGATTATGGGCGTGTATGTTGTATGTGTGTTAGTCATCAAGGTAACAGATTATGGCCGTGTATGTTGTATGTGTGTGTTAAGTCATCAAGGTAACAGATTATGGCCGTGTATGTTATGTGTGTGTTAAATCATCAAGGTAACAGATTATGGCCGTGTATATTTGTATGTGTGTTAAGTCATCAAGGTAACAGATTATGGCGTGTATGTTGTATGTGTGTTAAGTCATAAGGTAACAGATTATGGCCGTGTGTATGTTGTGTATGTGTTAAGTCATCAAGGTAACAGATTATGGCCGTGTATGTTGTGTGTGTGTTAAGTCATCAAGGTAACAGATTAGCGTGTATGTTGTATGTGTGTAAAGTCATCAAGGTAACAGATTATGGCCGTGTATGTTGTGTGTGTGTTAAGTCATCAAGGTAACAGATTATGGCCGTGTATGTTGTATGTGTGTTAAGTCATCAAGGTAACAGATTATGGCCGTGTATGTTGTGTGTATGTGTTAAGTCATCAGGTAACAGATTATGGCGTGTATATTTGTGTGTGTGTTAAGTCATCAAGGTAACAGATTATGGCCGTGTATGTTGTATGTGTGTAAAGTCATCAAGGTAACAGATTATGGCCGTTGTATGTTGTGTGTGTGTAAAGTCATCAAGGTAACAGATTATGGCCTTGTATGTTGTATGTGTGTTAAGTCATCAAGGTAACAGATTATGGCCGTGTATGTTGTATGTGTGTAAAGTCATCAAGGTAACAGATTATGGCCGTGTATGTTGTGTGTGTGTGTAAAGTCATCAAGGTAACAGATTATGGCCGTGTATGTTGTGTGTGTGTTAAGTCATCAAGGTAACAGATTATGGCCGTGTATGTTGTATGTGTTAAGTCATCAAGGTAACAGATTATGGCCGTGTATGTTGTATGTGTTAAGTCATCAAGGTAACAGATTATGGCCGTGTATGTTGTATGTGTTAAGTCATCAAGGTAACAGATTATGGCCGTGTATGTTGTGTGTGTGTTAAGTCATCAAGGTAACAGATTATGGCCGTGTATGCTGAGAAGACAACATACCTACAGAGGATATCTGTCTATCCACTCTTCTATGTGAATCACTAACAAGAACCCAGGTCAAGCCAGGTCTTATGAAGGTCAACTTAATCCACCTGGTTACTGTGTCACTACATACATACATACATGCACTTATATTAAGTACACATACGTACACACACCCACTTTCACACGCACACACCTCATTTCATATCGACCTACGTGCACATTCTTGACTCCTGTGCTAATTAAAGTGACCACACATACACACTGACACAGTCACAATCACTTTCACACAAACACACTCATCTCTCACTGAAACACACACTCAGATACACAAACACTAACAGACAATTATCGTAATGCATACACACAAATATATATCTTGATAAAATTACACGGGAAAAGGGAAACAACGGGGCACCTTAGCTTTCGTCTTTATTCAAGACATCTTCAGTTGCCTCTGAAGATGTCTTGAATAAAACAATATTTCCCTTTCCCATTATCCTGGATCTACATTATATATATATTATATATATATATATATATATATATATATATATATATATATATATATATATATATATATATATACACACAAACGCACTCGTATGTACACCGTATTCATGCAGATATATAATTAACCACATACATGCATAAACTCATACATATACATATACACACACACACACCCGGATGAGGCTGACTTGACTACCTCGCGGGAGCCACATGGGAAGTGAGGAGGGTTGGCAGCCCTGACTGGCGGCGAGGCACTGGTGGTGGGGGGCGGAGCTTAGAGCCGTGACGTAACCACAGTTGTCCTCAATCCCGCCATATTCCCTACTACTGCCTGCTGGTGCACTAAGACAGGACTTGCTGGAGAACACGGCAAGTGGGGCTTGGATGTGACCTTGGTACAGCCCCCCCCTCCTGCAGCGGCTGTTCACTGTTCAACAAGCCGGGGAAGAACAGCAGAGGTCCCAGCAACGCGCCATTCTCAACCCACCACCAGTAGCCGCCACACCACACCCGCCCCAGCCACGGATATGACGACATGTTACCCTTATCCTCCTGCTGTGCCTCCCTACTCCTGCTGCTGTGCCTCCCACTCCTCCTGCTGTGCCTCCCTATCCTGCTGTGCCCTACTCCTGCTGTTGTGCCCTACTCCTGCTGCTGTGCCTCCCTACTCCTGCTGCTGCCCCTACTCTTGCTGCTGTGCCCCCCTCCTCCTGCTGCTGTGCCCCTCTCCTGCTGCTGTACTCTCCTGCTGCTGTGCCCTACTCTTGCTGCTGTGCCCCCCTACTCCTGCTGCTGTGCCCTTTCTCCTGCTGCTGTGCCTCCCTACTCCTGCTGCTGTGCCTCCCTACTCCTGCTGTGCCCCTACTCTTGCTGCTGTGCCTCCCTACTCCTGCTGCTGCCTCTCCTGCTGCTGTGCCCCTACTCCTGCACTGTCTCCTGCTGCTGTGCCTCCCTACTCTGCTGCTGCCCTTACTCTTGCTGCTGTGCCCCCTCTGCTGCTGCTGCTCCTGTGCTTGCCTCTACTCCTGCTGTGCCCCTACTCTTGCTGCTGTGCCCCTGCTGTTGCAGCATCACTTGTTACACCCTCTTACTTCAGTTTGACGCGGCTGTCCTCTTCCTTCTCCTCCCCCACACACATACTTCTAGATCATACCTGAGAGAGACGTTTCACAATACTAGACATATTAACAAGGTCTAAATAAATATTAACATTCACAGACAGACACAGACAATCTTTAATACCTAAAATAGACAGACAGACACGGGCGACGCAGATCTCTGACATTCTTTATTCGCCTGACAGCGGGAGATAATTATCACAGCCTGGACACATCCTGACCCTCCTCCCCTCACATCCTGATCCCCCTCTCTTCCCTGACACATCCCCTGACACAAGGCACTTCCGCCATAGTAATGTTAAGGCAAACGGTGGTGCCATGTTGATTCATAATGGTGCCACATCTCCCTCGTCCTCAACAGTGGTGCCACATCTCCTCGTCCTCAAGTGGTGCATCTCCCCTCGTCCTCAACAGTGGTGCCACATCTCCCCTCGTCCTCAACAGTGGTGCCACATCTCCCCTCGTCCTCAACAGTGGTGCCACATCCCCCTCGTCCTCAACAGTGGTGCACATCTCCCCTCGTCCTCAACAGTGGTGCCACTCCTCCTCGTCCTCAACAGTGGTGCACATCTCCCCCTCGTCCTCAACAGTGGTGCCACATCTCCCCTCGTCCTCAACAGTGGTGCCCATCTCCCCTCGTCCTCAACAGTGGTGCCACAT